AAAAAAAAAAAAAAAGCTGCTCAGACTCCCGCCCAAAACTGCCAAAGCGACAAAAAAAAAAAAAAAAGCACTCCTCCTGCTGCGCACCCCCAAGGATCCTCTTGTGCACCCCCTGGGGTATGCACACCCAACTTTGGAGACCACTGTCTTAGGGTACTCAAGGAGCTGACTGAGTTGATATTTGAGCCATTAGCTGTTGTATTTGAAAACTCATGGAAGATGGGAGAGATTCCAGAGGACTGGAAGAGGACAAATATAGTGTCAATCTATAAAAAGGGGGATAAAGATTATCCAGGGAATTATAGACGCGTCAGTTTAACTTCAGTACCTGGAAAGATAATGGAGCAAATAAGCAATCCATTTGCAAACACCTAGAAGATACTAAGGTGATAAGGAACAGTCAACATGGATTTGTCAAGAACAAGGGAATGGTTTTACATGATTTGACAGAGTAACAAGGCTTGTGGATCGTGGGCTTGTGGAAACTTGTATTCCTGGGAAACTTTAATGGTGGAAAGGCATATGGAGACTTGGGTGCCTAAAGAATTAGATGGCAGCTGAGCATGCGTTTTGAGGATCTCAGTGGCACCTAAATGTTGGATTTGGGGAGTGTCTAAATTGGAAGTTAGGTGCCTAAGACATTTGTGGATCTAGCCACCAAGCACTTTTGTACATATATACCAGCCCTTTGCAGATGTTTTGATCTCCACAGAATTTTCTTTGGATCTTGGTGTGCCTTAAGGTTAAGGACCTGCTCCATGCTGGAAAAGGCAAATCTTGTCTCCCAGATGAGATGATTATGAAGAAGTTCAGTGATTGGGAGTATGATTTGGCCCTGTGTCTGCTGGGGTTTTACACTTTGGTTTCTAGTCAGATCATGTGCAGGAGGACCTTTTTCATGCATAGTTCTGAATTTGCAAATGCTAATGTTTCTAGAATGCTGGATTTGTATTTGTAGGAAATTCAGAGCAGAAAACTACTAAAGATCCATCTTTTTATTTTATTTTTTTTTACAGGTAAAGAAACTTGGTATAGTTGCTGTTAGTAAGTATACAGTTTGTTCTACATAATGCAAATTACTTTTTTTCCCCCAAACAGCTAACACATCTGTATAGACATGAATTGTGTAATAGGAAGCAAATCTTATCTATAACTAGCTATGTCAAAGTATATTAAAATAATATTAAGGTTGTAGACTCAAGCACTTAAATGTTAGGAAATGCCGGTATTAAGATTGCCCGTGCAATCTTAATTCTGTGCCCTTGGTATGTGCTATGATAAAGTCTTTAATTAGATGATCACATATTTTTCCACAGTACACCACCCTTGTTCAGTGAATGGGTAGATATTCAAGATTTCTTAACCTATATGTAGCCCCAGGTCTTACATAACACACTATTGGATCTTGCTGGGCTGAGCCTGCTCACCCACACCTGGTTCACCTGGCGCAGAGGGGCAGGGCCCTGGGGTGTTTCTGGGGCAGGCCCAGCCCTTGCACTGTGTCAGGATCAGGTGCAGCCTCACTGCCGAGTCCCTGAACCCTAAACCTCCCACCTCCCCCCCGGTAATCTCCCACTTCAGTGCAGCCAGTGTCCTGTGTTCCCCACTGGCATGCTGGAGCCACATTTATTTATTGACAAATAAAATTTGCAGAATTTTAAAATATTGTGTGCCTAATTTTTAATTTTTTGGCGCAGAATTCCCTCAGAATTCTCTGCACCTATCCACTCCTCCAAACTCCTGCTGCCCACACTCCTATGCAAACCCTCCCCCACACAATAGGTTCCTGCTTCACCTACTTGGATCAGCCTTATTCACTCCCCTATCAGCTTCACTTCTCTTTGTCTCCTGCAACACCCACTCCCACCCTAATTCTCAGGCCATTTCTATAGGGACTGTTGTGACATAGCTGTGCTGCTGTAGCTATGTCATCATAACCCCATATTGTAGAGGCAGGCCTACAGTGATGGAAGGGTTTTTTTTTGTCAGTGTAGGAGCACAACTTCCCCAAATAATGGTAGCTATGTCAAGGAAACCAGTCTTCCATCGACCTACTTGCTTCTACACTTGGGGTTGCGTCAGCTTAGCTACGACAGTCGAGGGGTGGATTTTTCATCTCTCTCAGCACCATAGGTATGCCAGCCTACGTTTTTAAGTGTAGGCCAAGCCTCATTCCTCTGCATTTCAGTGTGGCTGCTTCCTCCTCCTTACTGCCTGGGCACAAGCAGCAGGAGCATTGTCTCTTCTGTGCACTCAATCTCTCTGCTCTCTTCCTATGCCCAGTGCCACAGAAGCCTGCTGGATGACAGGTGGAATAATTACAGGGAAAGTCCTACTCAGACTTGCAGCCCCACACTGAAGCATGCTCAGTACAGACAGAACCCGCTAATCCCACCCCCCTTCCAGATTTTGAGTCCCTGCTCCAAAGCATGGGGGCATTAGAGCCGGGGCCGGCTCCAGGCACCAACCTACCAAGCATGTGCTTAGGGCGGCACCTGGAGGGGGGCAGCGCTCACCCGGGGAGAGCGGGGCCCCGGCCAGGCTTGCTGCCCTCCCCCCGGCGCTCTGGCCGGCTGGGGAGAGTGGGGCCACCCTGCTCTAGCCAGCCGGGGAGAGCAGGGCTGCCCTCCTCCCGGCGCTCCCCGCCGGGGGGCGGCGGGAGGCTTTTTTGCCTGGGGCGACAAAAAAGCCAGAGCCGGCCCTGGTTAGAGCTTCCAAATGAAACCATTTTGTGGGGGGAAAATTAATATAGTCAAAACAATGTGTGTTCTAGTAATCTAATTCTTGGAAACAGCAGAACTGTGTTAGCTAAAACTTTTAAGTAGTAGTTAACCTGAAGCAGACGCTCAGCATGGAAAATTTCAGTCCAAATGATTTAAGGATGGCAAAGGTATTAGCCAGTGACAGTGGGGGTTTTATAATGGGGTGTGTCAAGCAACCTTAATTGTAGGCAGCGCTAGTAGCTCTCTTAAGACTTGATGACAAATCCAAAAATAGTTGACACTTTTTTGTTTCACTCGTATTATATGCTCCATTTTCATGGGCTGTAGGAGTCTTGGAAATGTTATTTTTGGGTAGCTTCTGTAATGTATAATGCAGAATATTTTAAAAGTTAATTCATGCCCTAACTCACAGTGTTTCCTACATATTTTCTCGTTGTGTTCACTTCTAGGAAAACATTTCTCATAATTTAGCCACTTGTTGCCCAAAGACGGTATTTGATGATAATCTTCTTCCTGACATACCTTAATTTGTTATTGGTAATTTGCAATCATGAATATGTTGATATGTTGTAAGACATTTTTTATTGTGAAAATGAAAATTGTCAAACTTATTCCCTTCTTTATTCATAGGTAATGCTTTATTACAAGACATTACTTGTTTGGCAGCAGACAGAATGTTGGTCTTCGCTTCATATGGCAATCTTCTCCATGCTTTTGCCCGGAACAAAGAGGTTTTTATAACTTATTTATTGTGTAATAACCAGACACTAAGCCAATATTGATATGTTTTCTTACTTAAGTCACTTATTCCTATCAACTGTAATTTAATTTCACAAGTTTTGGGAACAATAGCCTCACAATGCTCAGCAATAACAATGGATAAGTTAAAATAAGAAAGGTTTAAGGACAAATTCTACAATGGTTGGGCTGTGACACTTATAAAATGACAGTGCTCTGATAAAGAAATAATCTTCAGGACACAAAAGTTAAAATACAATTAAAACTATGACAAAAAAGATTTGCCAAGTACACTTTCTCACAAGGAAGCTATCATAAATGAGACTTAACAAAGGTGTATATTTACTAGATAAAATACAGTATAATGTTGTGTATTAATGGGTTTCTGTTACAGGTAGTTGCTATCGTTAAAGTAATATACTAAAATATTACAATATGTGAAAAGGTTTACTGAAATGTGTACTTTGAAATCATAGGTGGTTCATATATATGATGGTCACAAAGGAGAAATTCACCTTTTGCAGCCATTTGGTGATCATGTCATCTCTGTGGATATTGATAATGTTCTTATTGTTTGGGATGTACAATCAGAAGGTGAGTCACTATTTCCTCATTCTGTAACTGTCCAAACTATCTGTAGTATGTGATAAAAGTTGTAAGCATTTGATAATGTAAGACAGTTTGTTTAATGCTTATGCCAGAGTTCTTAATTTTCTTAAGGCAAAATAAAACGGTTGTTACATTAATGTTTGAAATCCTGATCCTGCAGTGAGCTTCATTGGTGGACCCCTGCACCCATTCAAAGCTCCCTTGACTTCAGGAGGAGAAAGGGTTGGAGAGAGGCATGTGGTGCAGAGGTCTACTTATAGATAATTGGTATCTCTTAACATTCCCTTTGTTCATGAGAGTTGTGGTGAAAGAAGTTTGGTGTCATGTGGAGTCCTAAAATTTCTTCAGTCACGTTATCTATGACACTGGGTATGGCATGGAAATTGCTTGCTTTCTGGGCAGCAGAAAAAGATCAAGTGCTGAGTTTTTTAGTTGTCAGTAGCTTTTCATGCTATTAAATGGATAGGTTTGAAAGGATTTTTATCAATAAATGTTGATTTCACCGTATGTGCGCAAACCAATGAAAAAATATTTCCATCAATGATGCTTGAAAACTTACAGATATGCAGAGTAAGAAAAGTCCTGCTTGAGAACTTCTTAGACTTTTGATTTAAGGCATTTACTTTGTGTATTTTGGCATGTGGTGTTGACAATTTGTTTTAACGGTTATAAAACTTCAACTCTTTTAATCTGTCCGTTATTAAATAATTGTCTACCCCTGTTGCCTGACCCCTCCCATAGTTTCCCACAACTGTGAAAATTTAAATAGATAATAATAGAAAAAAATTGTTTATAATTTCAATGGATAATATTTTTAAAGTCTAATTGTGCTAAGTTTAAATAAGGTTTTGATGGCTCACTGCTAGGTGGGATCACACTTCGGTGGCTTAATTCTTTCTTTTCAAAGAATTCTCCGATTTTGGTATTGGGCAATGACTCATTAGCCTGACAGGTTCTCTTATGGTGGTCTGTGGCGTTTAACAATTTTTAAAATAATTACTACGCTTCTAAGTTGGCGTTCATGTATTAACAAGACTTTGTTATAATGTAAACAGAAGACATGATAATCAAGTGAGATGTTCTGCTCAGAAAGCACAATAAGAATCCTTTATAATGATATAAATCTGTTCTGCGGGGCACTATAAAGTAAGCTACATAACTTGCCACGAGATGAGTCAGGTTCATATGAGGTTTCTGGTGCTTTCAGGGAAGAAATCCCAGTTGTGAGGACTTCTTCCCATTTGTGCATGTAAAAGATGAAATGCAAATTTCTTAAAAATTTGCAAAGAATGGTTAACTTGGAATGTTTGTAATGGTAGCATAACTAACACAGTTTCTTATGTCTGCAGAAGAATACCTACAACTGAATTTTGATAAGGCTGTTTTTGCAGTTTCTGCAATTATGCATCCAAGTACCTACTTAAATAAAATTCTCCTTGGCAGTGAACAAGGAAGCCTGCAGTTATGGAATGTAAAATCCAAGTAAGATTCTTTATTCTTTAAGTACATTTCACTCTCCAGGTGGAGCTATACTGAGTTTTAACATTTTCTAAATAAAACGATCTCTTAATGCAGGTCTATTTTTTCTAATTCCTTCAACAGAAGAGCCCCTCAGTGTTGTTTTCAGAAATATGGGCAATACAATTGCCTCTCGTATGTGACTGAAAATGCTATTTTTTCAAGCCAGGATTTTTTTTGCTGTGAAGTAACAGGGATTGTGCAGGTTTCTTCAGTAATCTTCCTTGCTTTCATTTCCCAACCCTGACCCCACTCAGCATTTTAGCTAGTTGTCTATCTGTTGAAGTATGGCAGAGGAAGTAGTTGTAGAACTCCTCCCCCTTAAAATTGTTGTCTAGCCACTGAGTGGGCCCATGAGGAGGATATACCTAGCTGAGTGTGGGGAGGAAGGTTTCGCACCTGTTCAGCTGCTGCAGGATTTGGGACTGAGATCACTACTCAGATTGTCTCCTCACGCTCTACTACAGTAATTCAAGGTGGGGAAGAGACTTGCTGATTGGAGGCACTGCCCTGTTGTTGATTCAACTTGTTTTACTTTGCCCCAATTTGCCAGTACAGGCATCTGAAATTAAAAACACGTAATTGCATTGTAGAAGTTGTTGAGGTGGAGGGAGTTGTACATTCCAGTTCTCCAAAGTGCAATTTTCAAAAATGACATCTGCACTGAGGACGCCAAGTCCCATTGACTTTCAGTAATCACATTAATACAAAAGGCCATAATTACAACTCATGGCTTTTGTAGTAGCTGGTAGGCCTTTTCTCTCTTGGGTGGTGGGCTGAGTAGGTGTGTGAATTCATATGGTAGCAAATCTCCAGGCTGCTCATCTGCACTCTTTCTGCCAAACCACAAAACTCCACTATGTGGAGTCCTCTTATACAGACTACTATGTTTTCTTCCCTCTTTCCTCTCATCCTTGCAGAGTGGAAGCTCTGCTGTATTTTAGGGCCTTCCATTCCTGTGTGAAGGGAAGCAGCATTTGTCCCTTAGACTGAAACAATATCTGTATTTGCTTGCAGACTTGCCACTGCATTGGGACATGTTTAGAATATCTTCACAGCCAGAGCTAGGAACTTAATTTTTTTAAAATAACTTAAATTCTTTAAAGACTGTGCAGGCAAAATAAGTTTTAATCAGTGACTACTGAAGGAATCCAACCTGTGTAGGGGTCAAGCATAGGAGTTTATTACGCACAGCGCTGGCGGAGTGTCACCTTGCTTATTAGGCTCAGAGACACTGTCAATCAGTTGATTACAATGGAATATATAGATTTTCCCTGGGCAGGGGAAAGTGACGGGTTGACAGTTCCACACCCCGGGATAGGTTTTGCAGCAAGACAAGATAGCACATTAGCCAATGGTTAACGGGTTACATAATGTCTCCACACATGGTCTCAAGTTAGCAAGTTAACATTTAATTAATACTTTGATAAAATGTTATTAGTATAATATATATGTGTGTGTGTGTGTGTGTGTGTGTGTGTATATATATATATATATATATATATATATATATATATATATATA